AACTCACAAGTTAACTTCAAGTTGCAGCGGCGGCGGCGATTTCTTGCTTCGCCGAAGCGAAGGCGTCCTGGATCGCGGAGAATCCTCGGGGCTCCGGAGGAGTTCTCACCTACATCGTCCATATAGGACGACTCGGGAACTCAACTCCTACCCCGGGCAGCTCACCGATCCCCTTATGCCCAGGGGAAAGGTATCAAGCTGTTTGGCAGCAGATGCTGGCTGTCAAACCGGCTTTTACGCAAAACAGGCGGGAGGCAGCAAACAGCTGCGACCAGCGAAATCGCCTGCCACCGGAAGTCCCAAAATATAATTTATATTTATACTATTTATATTTATATTATACGGTTACATTCACAATGACAAATGGCAACATTATATTATATGGTTACATTCACAATGACAAATGGCAACATTCTGATTGAAGTGCGTGCTTCTGCTTGTTTGTATCCTTTCCATCGTTCCCTTACAGCATTGTATACAGATTGGATTTTACCCAACGGGACATTTTTTCTATATATTAAACTTGCCTGTTCTAATTTGTCTCCTCCTTCAGTTTTGGATATGAGTTCATCCATTTCATCATCATAAACTCTCTATAAATATAAACAAAATAATTTAAACAAATATTTGGACACAAATTTCTAACTTCATCTTCAAGTGTTTATAAATAAATAATTTTAATTAATATTTAATATCTATTACACATATTATTCATTTGCCAGAGAAATAGGAGGAAAGTGACATCCTTCAATTTTGAGGAAATCTAGCCCAGGTCTGGCCAGACTTTTGGGAGATCCAACCTGCCACTGGAAGGTGACCAAAGATTACTCCTTTATTTCACTCTCCAAATTACTGGTTATAGCCTGTTCACCAACCAGATACAACTAATGATATGAGGTAAACACTTTTCCTAAAACACCAAGTCACCTTGATCATACTCGAAACCAGTAATGGATAGTGGAGCAAGTCAAACTTTTATCAATCCCTAGCTTATGACACGCATTGGATGAGATGTATGTAATATTCTTGGCTCTTACTATGAGATCCTGAGCAACCAACTAAGTGAAGTTCATGTTGACAAACTCCTTGTTAGTTTATGTACATCTGAGTTTGAGTGGGATTCATCTGTCATTTCTACTGTGATTCCTCAAAATCCCTCAATCCCGCTGCCATGGCCATGTATTTATGCATAGTCAACAATTTTGCTGGGCTGTAATCCCTTACTAATAGGATCAAACAAGTGCTCTGACTCTGAGGCTCTTTGCATTCATGGATAAACACATGAAGCACGGAGGTGATACTCTGGCCAGCAGGAGACCATTCAGCACAGAAAGAAAATCAGCTATTTTTTTTTTAAACAGAGCCAGTTTGGTTAGTAGTTAAGGTGCTAGACTAGAAACCTAGTGACTGAGTTCTAGTCTTCTCTCAGGCAGGGAAGCTGACAGATTATTTTGAACCAATCACCCTGTCTCTCAGCCCAACTTTCTCCACAGATTGTTGTGATGGGGAAAATAGGAGGAGCATTATGTATACTGCCTTGAGTTGTGCAAAATAAAGGTGGGAAATAAACCTAATAAATAAATACTTTTGTCATTCAACATGTTACTACTTGGAAGTCGAGAAGATAAGTTTGTATTTTTTAAAAAATAAAGATTTCTGTCAGGAAATTGAATTTAACATGGGTTAATGTATCATTTTCAACAGAAAAACAAGTGGAGTGCTAGAGGTAATATTGATGGTGTGTGTTTTTGCACCACTGTGCTTAAGTTCACACCCAATTACTAGAACATGCTCATTTGATTGGAATGCATACGTATGTATGGGACGGGTTGCACTACTTTCATGGTCAGTGTGCAGGTGTTAGAATTGGTCAGGAAGTCCTTTCCATAAGTTCATCTAGCGTGATAGTTACACCCTTTCTTAGAACAAGGGGCCATTCAGATGGGCAGTCATGCCCTAGAGTAATGGTCTGTGGGAATGACCTTAAAAGGCAGATGGATAGAGTTCCAATGTGCTGACTGAAAACATCCACTCTGGTATTTGACTTCTCACAATAATAATGCTCCACTAGTCATAAACTGGTTTGTTTAAAACGTCAAGTTTTCTATTATTTTGATATGCAGGTATTTTAAATTGTATAAAAAGTTTTGCAATACTGAAAGATGCATTGTATGATAAATAACTATTTTAAATAAACAAATAACATGTTAAACTGCAACTTCTTTCAGATCACCTTTTATCAGAGCTGAAATCTGACATTAATCTTTCTCTATTTATAACATAATATATATATAAAAGCAACATACGTTTTCAATGAACTGCATATTTGAAAGCATGAGGAAACCATTGAAGACATTATGTAGGCGGCAATCTATACTTTTAGTTTCGTGAATCAGTCTGTCCATCTGCTTCTTTATTTCATGGGTCCTGGAGATTGTTTGCTGGGAGAATTCTTGCAGAAACTGCAAAAGCTGCCAAAAATATGTTTGTATAGAATTTAAATCACACTGTGGATGGAGGGAGGGAGGGAGGGAGGGAGAGAGATAGAGATGGAGGGCGGGCGGGGCTGTAAAAGCACTGCCATGTTAAGTTTGAAAAGATATGGAGCATCAAACCTATTTTTTTAAAGAAACCTTTGGAAGCATTTCCAGAAAGTTATAACATAAAATGAAGAGGTGAATCAATGACTAATAACGGGGACTCTCTGTAAAATTCCTGCTGTTTTAAGAGAAAACCCTGGTGAGTTAGTATAAAACTTGCAACAGATGTTAAGTGCAAAAAAAATACTTTTTCAGAAAAATACATATTGTGTTTCTTTGATTAATTTATTACCAAAGGTGGGAAAGGCTATGGGTGTTTTCAAACGGAAAAGAGGTACTGCAGAATATTACTGTAAAATTATACAGTTCTAGTTACCAACTGTGTATTATGAATAATAGATGTACGTTTTCATAATTATATCTACGATCACAAATTTCCAACAAACCATTTCAGGTTTTTTTTTTCCCCTTGCATAAGTGAAAGACAACTCTTTATCACCAAAACTCTTATTTTTGAAGGTATGATTATACTTTCACAATTAAGCACAATACTCTGTAGCCATTTTCCCTATTCATTTTCGGTTGACACAATACTTGAAGAGAAACAGAGTATTTTTTTTTTTTTAAAAATCAATTCTATGTGACCCTTTTCAACTGCAGAATTCCACAAATGGTTAATAATTAAAAGACAGGACAGCCACCTGTCTGGAATGATATAGGGTCTCCTGCTTGAGCAGGGGGCTGGACTAGAAGACCTCCAAGGTCCCTTCCAGTTCTATTCTGATTATTATTATTATTCTTATTCTTAATTATTATTATTATTATTATTATTATTATTATTATTATTATTATTATTATTATTATTATTAATTCAAACACACATCTGATGTTGTCCTTCGCCTCCGTATGGGAAAAAAACCCCTCCACTGATTAAGACTGAGCACAGGCTAAACCAGGGGTAGGCAACCTTGGCTCTTTTATGGACTCGTGGACTTCAACTCCCAGAATTCCTGAGCCAGCCATGTTGAGGGGACAGGGAGAGGTTTCCATGCTGAGCCATGCTGGCTCAGGAATTCTGGGAGTTGAAGTCCACGAGTCATAAAAGAGCCAAGGTTGCCTACCCCTGGGCTAAACGCGCTGTTTCTCAACCTTGACAATTTTAAGGCATGTGGACTTCAACTCCCAGAATTCCACAGCCAGCAATGCTGGCTGTGGAATTCTGGGAGTTGAAGTCCACATGCCTTAAAATTGTCAAGGTTGAGAAACACTGGGCTAAAGAGCTAAATGTATCTGTCAAGCCGCGTCTTACAAACTGGTGGGAGGAGGAGGAGTTGCGTTTCATGGTTAAGTTGCCATTGACAACCATCACAGGGAGCGACTGGCAGCCCAACTGATGGCTCCCGAAGGGAAGAACCGGCTCCTTCCACGGCCCTGAAAGCAGACCTCTGCATAGGTTCACGGGGCTCCCCCCACCCGCCGCCGCCGCCGCCTGTCCTCACCCCCGCGTCGGCCGCCAGGGACCACGACTGGCTCCTGGAGCGAATCTCTTCGAGGGACCAGGCGCGCTCCCAAAGCAGCAGCGCCGCCGCTGCCGCCGCCGCCTTGGTCGCTCCGGCTCCGGAGGAAGCCTCCGTGTCATCGGAGGCGGAGGAGGACGAGGCGGCAGAAGACATCTCGGCGCTGACCAAGCGCCCTCTCAAAAGCCGCGGCAATGGCGTCCGTCAGCTGACGCCACTCACGTGATCTGCGCTCTCGGAAGCTCCCTAAAGCGGTTTCCCTCCCCCCTCCCCTCCTCCCCGTAAGAGCTTTCGGCTGGAATCGGAGGCGGCGTTCTAGAGGCTTCCGCCAGTCCGCCGGAGCTGTGCGTGAAAACTTCAGGACTGGCGGAAGGGCAACGGACGAAGCGAAGAACCCGGAAGGCCACCAAGCCCCAGTTGGAGGTTGGCCAGCGGCGGGTAATAATAATAATAATAATAATAATAATAATAATAATAATAATAGTAGTAGTAGTAGTAGTAGTAGTAGTAGTAGTAGTAGTAGTAGTAGTAGTAGTAGTAGTAGTAAAGTTGGAAGGGACCTTGAAGGTCATCTAGTCCAACCCCCTGCTCAGGCAGGAAACCCTATACCATTTCGGACAAATGGCTGTCCAGTCTCTTCTTAAAAACTTCCAGTGTTGGAGCATTCACCGCTTC